GAACTTGAATAAAGCTCTTTTTAAATTTAGCATTCAAACTCGCTTTTAGGAAATATATGTGAAGTGAATTCTTTAATAGTCGGACGACATTTCACAGTAACTGATTTTAATATATGATCGACATGACACGTTTTATGTACAACGGACTTTGGAGAATGAATTGAACGTAAACTCATTATTAACAATTTTCGTGCCTCTAGGTAAAAACAATCACTTACTTTTGACCTTTAAAACGAGAGCTTTATGCGTTTGTAGCTCTTTCAGTTATGGAGTAATAGCCTCTCAAAGAAACCTATGGATTTTGACTTCGGAAGCTTAATTCTGTTCGGAAATCAGCTCTATTGAGATCGTTTTAGCATGATAAGACAGAGTACATTCAGAGCTTTCAGAAAATATATGGTTTGTATAGGTTTCTTGGGGAAAGGAAGAAATTGAAAGCAAAAAACAGTTTTATAAGTTATTAGTTATTTATTATTATAAACAATTTTTTTTCACATTATTGTTTTCTAACTTTTGTTAATATATTGAATTTAATATTATTATTATTAATTACTATCAATTTAATAAATTAATAAATTAATAATCAATTTTATTATTATAGGTGATAATGATCTTTTGTTTTTATTGTGAATAATTTTAGGATAGTATGAATTAATGACAAAACACAAGACAATTTCAAACAGATAAAATTATTAAATATTAATACTAGGTAAAATTTATATTAAATGAATTTAATGGATATTCAACATTAGATATTTTTTTTGTTAATACTTAATTGGTTTACATGTTAAAAAGTAACTAGATATGAAAAAATTGTTTCAAATGATTACCAAACAATGTGCAATAAAGGGAGAAGGAAAAGGTTTGTGATGTTAACATCATAATTTATTTATTTTTTTCTTTTCACATTATCATACCAGTAATCTCTAACTTTACTGGATGTCATGAATTATATAATTTAAATAGCTCTTCAGATACCACGTTCCACTGTTGGCAGGAGAAGTAAAAACCTTGGTATTGTAAAAGTTAAAGAACATCTTAAACTACAAGATAAAGAAATGGAAGAGATTAGGGAAAACTTACCAATTCTTAATCGAGAGACAATAGTTGTACCAGTCAATGAGATAATACAGGAGGAGGCAAGACCTTCTTGACAAATGAGTAAGAGACATAAAAAAACAGATGAGGAACTTGAAATTCTTAAAGAGGTATTTGATCACACTGTAGATTTACCAAAGGATGTAGCAAAAAGATTATTGTCTTGTAAACTTCTTGTTTTAAGAGATTATCAAGGCGATTTAAACCTTTTTCATAACATGTGAACATGTTATTAAAGCCATTTTCATTGATTTCTTTTGCATTTTTTAAAAAATTATATCCTGTAGGATCTTCTATGTCAAAGGCTTTGATTAATTCATTAACAACAGACCACATAGCATCTCTTTGGCTCTTTTTTGGACACTCCTTATGTTTTTTTTAATGGTGGTTTCTCCAACAAATTCCAAGACAAGTGGCTCCAAATGCTCATGCTCTGTTTGGACTGACTGAATTTGTAGCATAAGGTTATCAAGA